TTTTTAATTCACCATTTCATTCATTGGCAGATGAATGAAATGGCTGTTCATATTCTTCATTGATTTGTTTTTATTCTTTTTTAGTTCATTTTCAATTAATTCAAGATTGAATCATTTCATTTCAATTACTATGATTCGTTTTGGTGTGAAAAATTGTTTTCCACAAAGTGCATTTTCAATTCCTTCATATTCAAATGAATATTGACTACAATATGATTCTGTTTTATTATTTTCTTTACAAACACAGATGTCATGTCCAAATCCAAATTCAAACAAATAATCATCGGTTTGATAAAATAAATAAAATGCATATTCTGGTTATTTAATATCAAATTTCATCATTCCTTCCATTCTTCCATTTGATTCTAATGAAAATAAAAATGATTTTGAATCGTTTATCCATTCATCTTCATCAATTTTAGAATTAACATATCCTCCAAATTTATTTCCATCTTCATCTTCAATAATAATTATTATATGTTCTTTATTCATTATTCTTTGATCAAATACTGATGTATTTTTATTCCAATCATCTTTATCTGAATCAAATAGTATATTTCCTACTTTTCTATTTGTCTATTCTTCTAGTTGTCGAATTAATGCTTTGATGAATTAAATTACACACTTGTTAATTTTAAAAAGTTTTATTATTTTAAATAATTAATTCTTTTATTACTAATAATAACTCCCATTTTTAACACAGTTTTATAATAATTTTCTATATTCTAATTATTTTAAAGTAGTTAATTTTTCGTCGTTCATTGTTTAAAGAGTAAAAAACGAGGAGAGAATATTATTTCTATACAAGAAATAAATAATAAACCAGAGTATAGATATACTATTTACAACATAGTTAGAATAGACTAGTACATCCATTTTATTTGCTTATTGTAGACATCACTCATTTACTTGAACAAATGTTTTCTTATTCATATGGTATTGTTTTTTGTGCCTTTCTTTTTTACTTATATAAAATTGATCCTATATTTATGTTTGTTGGAGTTACAGGAACAATTGCAAAACCACGAGGGTTTTTTTTGTCTTCTGAATTAATAAACTGTAAATGTTCTTCTATAGAGCTAAAAACTTCTTGTTTTGTTGTGAAATTTATTTTAGTTCTAATTTGGACTTGTTGTTCAACGTCATTATTAAAATCTATAACACTTATTTTTAATGAACCAGACTTATCACATTCAAATGTCATTTCAATATAAGCATCATCAATACTTACTTTTGCTAAATTACTAAATATAATTTCATCAATCAAATCATTCATACTTGCAACTGAATAATTTCCTTCATACAATGATATTTTAATATTCTCAACATTGTCTTCACTAGGTGTTATTGATATTGTTCTTTTTAAAGGTAACTTTTCATTAGCTTTAAAAATGGTTATTGTTGTTCCGTCAAATCTTTCTATTTTAATATCTTTTGGTAAAACTTCGTTAATTGTAACACACTTTTCCCTTGAATAAGTTACAGCACCTAAAACTACAGCAGTTAATGGATTTATTCCTTGAATAATTTTTTCTATTCCAAATTTTTTTTGTATTAAATCTTTTACTTTTGGAATACATGAAGAACCTCCAACGAGTAAAACTTTGTCAATGTCATTACTTTGTAATTTAGCCATGTCTAATGCACCATCAATTAAATCCATAGCTTTTTTATATTCAGATGAATTAATATCATCAAAAAACTCTCTTGTAACTTTAATTTCATTTTCATCAAAAGTACTATCATCATCACTTATATCTGGATCCGGTATTACAATTGTTGTTTCATTGTATTGACTTAATTCATATTTAGCGCTAATGACTCTGTTTCTTAATTTTTGTTTAAATTCTTGTGAAGACATTGTCTGACTTTTAATATTACCTCTTTGTTCAATCTTACTAAGTATTGCCTTATATAAATTTTCATCAAAATTATTTCCACCAAGTTCATTATTTCCATTTGTACAAAGAATATTAAAAACAGGTTTTCCTTCCGTATTTAATTTCATTTCAATACAAGTAATATCTAACGTTCCTCCACCAAAATCAAACACTAATAATTTAGTAGGGTTTTCTATTTTATCTTTAGTTATATCTAAATAATATAATGCGGCTGCAGTTGGTTCATGAATAAATGTTGGATTAATATTAATTTCGTTTGCAATGTGTGAAATAACTTGTCTTTGTTTGTGATTAAATCCAGCAGGAATAGTAATAACTGGATTAATAGTTGTGTTTTTATCAATTTTTACTTTTTCACAATACAAATCTTTTAACTTTTTTAAAATTGACTTTGCAACTGTTTTAACAGAAATTAATCTACTTGGATCATTTATTCGATAAAATATTTCCCCTCCTTTTTCTATAAATTGTTGTTGTTGTTCTTTTTTAATTCCTTGGAGTGTTTTTCCCAGAAATGTTTTGCTGTCACTTAGAATTTGTGTTCCTTCTTTCTCTTGTATTGGATTTACTCCTACTGTTGTTATTTCACCATTTGATATTTCTATTGTTGATGGAATAAATCGGCTTGAATTGTCATCTTGAATTATATTTATCTTGCCTGTTTTTCCAACACAATATCCAATAGAAGAATAAGTGGTACCAAAATCAATACCAACAAATTTATTTTCAGTCATTTATTTTTTCCTAGTTCAATAGTTTATATTTATGATTTATTATAAAGTTTTGTAGTGTTTGTCAATTATCTTTCTTTTCGTTTTTTTTAATAGTTTTGAAACTATAAGAAACTAATGTCATAATACTGTCTCTTTTTTAAAACTTTATTATTCATCACTATTATTTTAAATACTTAGCATCATTTTTGGTATTTTTAGAGATATATATGCTAATTTCTAAAAATAATGGAAGAAAAATAGAAGAGAAAGAAGATATAATTCAAAAAAAATAACAGGCAATCAAATCATGTTATATGTCATTTGTTGAGTGTTTAATGATATGATAATGAATTATGAATGAAAAATATGACTTTAATGGATTAATATAAAAAATAAAATGATATTATAATGAAATAGTTTAAATATTAATGAGAAATAATATTGAAATTAATTATGAAATAGTTAATATTTATAGTTTTATTATTATAAAATATTTATTATC